GCACCACTCACCAAGTTTGTCGAGAACGAGGGGAGGTACAGGCCTGACAGGGCGCCCGAGGGGGCAGCTGGACACGGTAGAACAGTGAAGAAGTGAGAGAGGACAGGCTCCCCAGAGGGGTCAGCCAGGGAGACCGCAACCGGCCGGCCAAGCGGCGTGAGTGTGGTGCGGTCCCGAAAGAAGGAGCGAGAAGCCCCAGAGTCAAGTGTAAAGGTGAGTGAGGCCGAAGCCGACGCAGTATCTGAGAGCGCAGCCTCACCAGTACCTGAGAGCGCAGCCTCACCAGTACCTGAGAGCGCAGCCTCACCAGCACCTGAGTGCGCAGCCTCACCAGTACCTGAGAGCGCAGCCTCACCAGCACCTGAGAGCGCAGCAGTGTCACAGGCACCTAGCGCAGCCGTACCAATGCCCGGGTCGGGCGGGAAACACCGGTAACAGTCACCCGCATCATTAATAGGCACAGCATACATGGCAGCAAGGATAGCATCATAGTCAAGAGCAAAGATATCTACCCTCTGCCTAAGCAACTCCACCCAGTCGGGGAGCTCAGCCTCGTCGCCAAACTCAGTACGCCAGGCGTCGCTCAGACGGGCGAAGCAGCGGGACTGTGTGTGACTAGGAGTCCCACAAGGCTGGCCAGTCCGAGCACCAGTGCGAATCACGTAAGAGCTGCGAACAGAACTGAGAGACCCTCTACTCTGAGCGTACCACTCACAAAGCTGCCGGGGCGTGAGAGACGCGCGCGAGCGACGCTGGAGCTGCATCTGGCCGCCGCCAGTAGTAGTAGCAGCAGTAGTGGTAGCAGCAGCAGCTCCGTCACCCCTACAACCCCAACCAGCGTACCACTCATGCAGCTGCTGGGGCGTGAGGGACTCACGCGAACGGCGCTGGGGCTGCATCTGGCTCCGCCAGTAGAGGCAGGAGCAGGAGTAGCAGCAATAAGACAGGCAGCTAGGCAGGGCAGGGGCTCACCAGCAGTGGGAAGAGCAGGCTCGGCGGCTCGGTGATGCGGCGGTGCGGGCGGCTCGGCGGCAACTGCGGCTCGGCGGCACGGCGGCTCGGCGGCTCGGCTGCGGCTCGGCGGCAACTGCGGCTCTGCGACTCGGCGACTCGGCGACTCGGCGGTGCGGGCGGCTCGGGCGGCTCGGCGGCAACTGCGGCTCTGCGGCACCCGCGGCTCGGCTCCTCAGCTACTCAGGTGGCTCGAATAGCGTAGGGCGGCGGGGCCGCAGCGAAGGGGCGGCGGGGCCGCAGTGAAGGGGCGGCAGGGCCGCAGTGAAGGGCGGCGGGGCCGCAGTGAAGGGGCGGCGGGGCCGCAGCGAAGGGCGGCGGGGCCGCAGCGAAGGGTGGCGGGGCCGCAGCGAAGGGGCGGCGGGACCGCAGCGAAGGGCGGCGGGGCCGCAGCGAAGGGCGGCGGGGCCGCAGTGAAGGGGCGGCGGGGCCGCAGCAAAGGGCGGCGGGGCCGCAGCGAAGGGTTGCGGGGCCGCAGTGAAGGGCGGCGGGGCCGCAGCGAAGGGGCGGCGGGGCTGCAGCCAAGGGCGGCGGGGCCGCAGCCAAGGGCGGCGGGGCCGCAGCGAAGGGGCGGCGGGGCCGCAGCGAAGGGCGGCGGGGCCGCAGCGAAGGGGCGGCGGGGCCGCAGCGAAGGGCGGCGGGGCCGCAGCGTAGGGCGGCAGGGCCGCAGCGAAGGGGCGGCGGGGCCGCAGCGAAGGGCGGCAGGGCCGCAGCGAAGGGGGGCGGGGCCGCAGTGAAGGGGCGGCGGGGCCGCAGCGAAGGGCGGCGGGGCCGCAGCGCAGGGCGGCGAGGCCGCAGCGAAGGGGAGGGGCGGGGCCGCAGCAAAGGGTTGCGGGGCCGTAGCGAAGGGGCGGCGGGGCCGCAGCGAAGGGCGGCGGGGCCGCAGCGAAGGGGCGGCGGGGCCGCAGCGAAGGGCGGCGGGGCCGCAGCGAAGGGCGGCGGGGCCGCAGCGAAGGGGGCGGCGGGGCCGCATTGAAGGGCGGCGGGGCTGCAGCGAAGGGCGGCGGGGCCGCAGTGAAGGGGCGGCGGGGCCGCAGCGAAGGGCGGCGGGGCCGCAGCGCAGGGCGGCGAGGCCGTAGCGAAGGGGTGGAGCGGGGCCGCAGCGAAGGGTTGCGCAGCGAGGGCGGCGGGGCCGCAGCGAAGGGCGGCGGGGCCGCAGCGAAGGGGCGGCGGGGCCGCAGCGAAGGGCGGCGGGGCCGCAGCGAAGGGCGGCGGGGCCGCAGCGAAGGGCGGCGGGGGCCGCAGCGAAGGGGCGGCGGGGCCGCAGCGAAGGGCGGCGGAGCCGCAGCGAAGGGGCGGCGGGGCCGCAGCGAAGGGCGGCAGGGCCGCAGCGTAGGGCGGCGGGGCCGCAGCGAAGGGGCGGCGGGTCCGCAGCGAAGGGCGGTGGGGCCGCGACGAGAGGGCGGCGGGGCCGCGTAGGTGAGGGCGGCGGGGCCGCGACGAGAGGGCGGCAGGGCCGCGTAGGTAAGGGCGCGCCTCGGGGCGCGCGCCAGAAAGCAAATCGCCGCGCGCCAATAGGTTGCACGCCACGGGGCGTGCGACAGATCGAGTAGCAGCGGAAGCAGTAGTAGGACCCTAGGACCAGTTCCCACGAGGGAACCTGCTCGATACCATGAGGAAGTTAGAACGAGAATGAATGAACTATGAAATGTGTGAGTACAAGTACCAACCCTAATTGGGTTGTACCCCCTATGGGATACCCCACTATAGCCTACACAAAAGCATAAGCTATAAGTTCTGACAGTGGAGTAGGCCTTAAGCTAGACTAATCTTGAAAATTGTTGTGTATGCAAGTATTTTAGTCTAATGTATTTGACTGGAAAATTTTAATTGAAATTGTTCGCTAGAGAAGTGTAGCTTGGATGTAGGTTGTTAATAAAGTGAAAAACTTCCAACATAGATTCTTGTTATATAGCAGGAGTGCGCTTATAATAAGTAACGAGTTTTCAGAGGGTGCGCTTCTAATTGAGGATCGGCCATAACCGCATTGCTCCAGATAGAAGCGCATGTGCGTTTAATTGGCCTGCGATTATATCCGGGGCGATACGGTATGAACCCTAATAAGTTCATACTCTCTAAAGAGCAACTCACCGTACCCTAACAACTAGCATCACATATATGTGACTTGACACACTCCCATAGGCTACGTGACGGGCGTTCAACAAATAACACAAGACTAGTTAACAAAACAATGGAAGCAATTCAAGGTGGTATGACTAGCCAGCATAAGAGACAAAAGGCCACAAAGCCAGATAGCGAGTTTATAGAGATATATATAAACAAAGAAACAAGAGGTAAGCCTTACAGCAAGCGAGGTCATGTTTGAACTAAGCCAAGTTGTGAGGAGAACCTGAGGTGGTCGCTAGGCGAGAGGGCCTTGGTGAAGATGTTTACGGCGTCGGCTGCCGAGGCCACGAAGACCAAACGTGCCTGGCCGCGTCGCTGCAGTTCTTGTAGCATGAAGTATCACATGCTGATGTGCTTCACTATGCTCTCCAGTAGAGGCTCTTGACATAGGAGAATCATGGCCTTGTTGTCAGCAAACAACAAGAAGAAAAGAAAGTCAGCTAGCGGAGCTCTTGAGTAGGGCACCGGCGTAGATCTCGGCCTCGGCACTAAACTGCACCACAGACAACAACCGAGTAGACCTCCACAACACAACTCTAGAACCGAAGCTGAAATAGTACCCCTAAGTCCCCCCGCTGGTATCCTCGTTGTTCGCTCAGCACAAGTCGTAGTGCCCGGTAAGCCACACTGGCTTTGTCCCTCCAAACACAAGCCCCATGCCTAATATTGTCATCAGGTACTTTGCAACTCTCCTAGCACCCATCCAGTAAACAAGATGGTGTATTCGAGTCAAAACAAAGTAAGCTGGGACGTTAAGAGGATAAGCAAGGTACGGACAAGTGCATGCCATCGGGTACATGAGGCAACCCACAAGCTCTGCTTAGCAACCACTAGGCTCAAGAGGCTCGTCGGGAACAAAATCAGTCACTGTAGCCAATAGCTAGAGGGGTGGGCTATGTGGAGGAAAACTGAAGCTCGAACCGCTGAAGTACCTGCTACACCATGTGTGACTGAGTCAGTGTGATGGTGTGAGCGGCTTTGTCCTTAGTGATATGCAAGCCAATGTCAGTGCACGTGTGTCCCTTGTGCGATTCAGACTTCACTGAAGCTAGTGAAACTCTGTCTGCGGTAGCTAACACCAGGTCGTCAACTTAGACGAGGACGAAGAAAGGAGTGGGGCCAGAACGTACGACGGAATTTGAGGTCACCAAAGGTGGTGCGTAGGGTGTTGTGCCACTCACAAGGTGCCTAGCACAGTCCGTAGACTGGTCATCCCAGGCTCCACGCAGAGCTATTAGGGTAATTACTACTGAAGCCAGAAGGATGGCAGAGCCAGATCTCTTCATGCAAACTATCTTAAAGAATGGCGTTGTAGAAGTCTATTGAGAGCACCTCGTAGTCTCGATGTGCTGGGACGTGTAGTAGCACGACAAAAATAGTCATCTTCAAAGTGGGCGGGATGGTATGAAAGTAGTCTAACTGAAGCCTCTAGCCATGTAGAGTGCCTTGAATACAAGCGGCAATTCATTCTGCCGCTTTACCTTGAACATGCACATGCCATCGAGTATGTTTGCACAGAGAGGGAAAACTTCGTCGACGTACGAGCCTATGGATCTCCAAAATGCCATCTCAACGTCCATGGTTGCTATCTACTGAAAGGTCTACTGTCTCAACACTCCCTCGGTGTAGGTTTGTCAAACTAGAGTAGACAAAGAGGGAAGGGTCAACTGAAGATGGAGAAAAACCAAGAGAAGCAATAGTGGTCCAAATCGTCTTCTGCCACTTGCGTTGAGCCTAATGCTGACCGTAAAGAGGCCACCGAAGGATCTACAAGGTGCCAGGAGGGAACAACATAGTGAATGTGAGAGTACAACGAATATGCTTACCCATTATTGCTTGTTTCTTTTTTATCTTATTGTTTTATGCTTGGGAGAAGCTATCGGGCACGAGGAGTCGGTGCTCTACTGGGCGCACAAGGTCCGTCATCGCCGCACATCCTCCTCACCCACATTTTCATTCTTGTCCCCGTCCCCTCGCACACCTGCACCCCCCTCACGCACTGGCATCTTCCCTAAAGCTCCCCCAGCCTCACACCCTTGCGCTCCCTTGCACGCACATGAGCATCTCCTCTTGAATAGCGTTTCCCCAGCCTCAGCCTCATGTGCCATTCCCGTGCGCACACTTATCCCGCCATCCTTGCTGTTTCCCTGCGTGCTTCCCCACCGCCCACCCATCTGCACCGTGCAGAACCGCATCCTGGTGTTTTGTCCGGCGATCACGGACGGGTCCATCGGCGACATGCTCTACTTCCACTCCTACTCCTCGCCCGGCCTCGTTCTCGACCTCGTGCAAGGTCAGCGCATCACTGCACCTGCTGTACGCGCTGTTGCCGCGCCTCTTCGACGCGGTGCTGCCGCGCCCATGCATTGCATCGCTTTCCCCCTCCCCGTCTCCTCTTCTCTGTTACGGGAATTCTGCATTCCTTGTTTTTGCATTTCCAGGTTACGTGCTTCCCCCCCCCCCCCCCCCCCCCCCCATCCCCTTTCCTCCTCCCTTCACTCTCCGCTTCCCTCTTTGTGGTTCCCTCATCGTTCTTCAACCTACCTCCAAATACGTGTTCCCCTCCACGCAGATGTGCGGCGGATGGACGATGAGGCGGTGCAGGCGGACCCGCGGCGCACGGGCGTGATCATCCTGGGGGGCGGGTTGCCAAAGCACCACATCTGCAACGCCAACATGATGCGCAACGGTGCAGACTACGCCGTGTACATCAACACCGCCAATGAGTTCGACGGCAGCGACTCCGGCGCCCGGCCTGATGAGGCAGTCAGCTGGGGGAAGATCCGTGTGGAGGCCAAGGCTGTCAAGGTCAGTTCCCACTGCTTTTGAGGTGCCTCAATAATAGACTCGAGGGCCAGGGCTGATGAGGCAGTCAGCTGGGGGAAGATTCGTGTGGAGGCCAAGGCTGTCAAGGTCAGTTTGCGATGCACACGGAAGAGTTGAAGGCTGCGCGCCATGCCACCATGCACTACAACAAGGAAGAGGTTTGTTAGTGAGCATGATGGTACTTATTCGTGGGCGCAGTTTTTGTCCGGAGCTGCCAGTTGGGGAAAGGTGAGAGATGCAGTGGGTGAAGGCGCCATCAACCTGAGTCATAGTCACTACCAAACTGAATTGCCGCATTCCTTTTCTGCTGCTCCCACTGCCTTCCCTCTTATTGACTCACCACCACCCCTGCATTGAACTCCTCTGTTGTTTGCAATGACTTCCCCTAATTGATTTCCTTTGCCATACCCCTCCCCCCACGTCTCATGTCTGCCTTGTGCCCATCCCATGGTCCCCTGTGCCACCAGGTGTTCTGCAATGCCACCATTGCCTTCCCCTTGCTCGTAGCCGAGACGTTTGCTCGGCACCTGCAGCAGGAGAAAGCAAAGTACAAGGGGCCGACGAAATAGGCAGCAAGCAGATACCTAGGAAAAGGGGTGCAGGCTGGAAGAAGGATATCCAAGAATTTGAAGAGCCTATGTATTGTTGTCAGTGCCACATGAATGCATTTTGACTGTATAACGTGATTGATCTTTGCATGGTGTGACAGGTATTCTGCATAACGTGACTGGCCTTTTTGCATGTCTGACCTGTAAGGAATGCTCAAGGGTACCTTGTCTGATAATCAGAAATGCATGGCTTTAGTTAAGACCCCACCCGTATTGTGGACCCGGGGGTTACCGGTACTATTGGTTGCTGTTTGCTCGGGCAAATACGGTACAAGTGGAAAAGGAATGGTTGGATGAATTGTACCTGAATGAGAAGATGGGAGTTCCCACGCTGTTCCACTGAGAGCAAGTGTAATCAATCACGAGGCCTTCAAGTCACCCACTCCCATCTTCTCATTTAGGGTGAGGTGAAGCGGAAGCGGAGCTCCTATCCTAACTGATACCATGGAACTCAACAGAATTCATCTCACAAATGCAAACGTGGTTCATATTAGCAATGTTGTACTAGCTTCAATGTATTTCAAATCCAAGCAACCTAGCTGAACCAAATATACACTACGCAAACATAGTTTGAAGAAAAGTATGTGCCCTGCAGAAGACGACGTGCTACCATCAGGCATACGGTACAATACAAGCAACACAAATCCACACCAAAATGTGGCTCAACTACACAAACGCTACTCTTGCATAGTGAGCAACGGCCTCATTTCTAGACGGAAACAGCCACTTTCATCTTGCCCGCGCAATGGCCGGACACTCCACAGGCGAAGTACAGGATGCTGCCCGCCGCTGTACTGGGCACCGTGAAACTGAAAAAAAGGGAGCAAGTCGGGCAAAATAGGCAGGGTTAAGAGCTGTGACGAGCAAAACGAGATGGGGCCTCCTAAGCAAGCAGAGCCTTTTTCACTGGCCCTTGGCGGCAGGCGCAAGGGTTGCAATGCAAGACGCAAAGGAATCCGAAAGACATGATGCACATTCAAGAGAGAGAGAGGCAACAGGAGTCAGCTAGAACTGCTGCTAAGCAGAGGCATAGGGGGAACTGAGCAGGAGACATGTGTGGTGTGGTACTTACTTGTACGACATGCCCGTGGCTGCGGGTGCCTTCTGCTCAGCAGCTGTGAAGTCGCAGGCCTTGTAGGCTGCAACGTTGCTCATCTGCCACACGTCGTGGAACCCACTTCACTTGAACACTGCCATGCCACGGCATGTAGGGTAGGTATGGGATGTAGGGGAGCAGAGGATGATGCGACAGGTGCATGGTGACAAAGTTAGAAGGAAGAAAGGGAGAAGAGGGTTGAACTAGCAGGAATGAGGATACAAATAGCAAAACCCTAGAAGGGTTGTACTCGCTATAGAGCACCCCACTACAGGCTAGAGCATAAGATAATATTCTGACACACCCCCATAGCCAAAGTGGGGTGTAATCAGCAGAGCAAGCAAAGCAGTACAAGCTCAGGGTGGATCACAATGTCACCACACATTCTGAGCACAAGTTCAAGAAGCAATAGTTTAAAGTTCACAATTATGAGCAAAGCTAGTGGTAGTCACAACGGGCAAGTGAGGAGGAGGAGAGAGAGTGAGAGGAGAGGAGATAGGAGGCGACGGCTGAAGCTGCAGACACACGGGCACCAGGAGGCAGACTGGCACAACGGCTATCGGGCGAAGCCCCCGGAATACTGGAGTAACAGGCCCCGCGGCTAAAGTAGCGGCAGACGGGCAACGGACCCACGGGCGGCTGGCACAGCTGGCTACGACTGGGCTAACGGACTAAGTCCCTGGACTACAGGTGCTGCTGGCGACACGACGGCAGCCTCCGTGCAACTTCCCCAAACAGTCCCACCCCCCGACACACACCCGCTGCTACACCCCTAGCTCCACTCCCACGCACCCCCCTTAAACCCTAAACCCCAGTCTCCCACTCATCCACCCCCCTCAGCGACAGCTGCAGCAGTGGGAGACGAAGGAGGAGGAGGAGCAAAGGGAGGGATGAGGAAGTGCCACCCCCATACTCGCCACCCCCTACTTGCCACCCCCAAACCCGAACACAGACAGGGGGGGATGGCGGGTAGGCAGGGTGGGATGGCGGCGCTCGCCCCCCTCCCCTAGGTAAATCCTCGAGGGTCGCCTCGACAGGCGACGGGAAATGGGGCCGGGGCGCAAGGAGGGCACCGGGGCCACAGGTGAGGGCGGCGGGGCCGCGTAGGTGAGGGCGGCGGGGCCGCGTAGGTGAGGGCGGCGGGGCCGCGTTGGTGAGGGCGGCAGGGCCGCGTAGGTGAGGCGGCGGGGCCGCATAGGTAAGGTGGCGGGGCCGCGTAGGTGAGGGCGGCGGGGCCGCGTTGGTGAGGGCGACGGGGCCGCGTAGGAGTGGGCGGCGGGGCCGCGAAGTGAGGGCGGCTGAGGCCGCGAGATGAGGGCGGCGGAGGCCGCGAAGTGAGGGCGGGGGGGGGGCGCGTAGCTGAGGTCGGCGGGGCCGCGAGGTAAGGACGGCGGGGCCGCGAACGTAGGGTGGCGGGGCCGCGACGGGTAGGTGGCGGGGCCGCAACCGTAGGTAGCGGGGCCGCGACCGTAGGTGGCGGGGCCGCGAAGGTAGGTGGCGGGGCCGCGTAAGGTAGGGCGGCGGGACTGCGAAGGTAGGTGGCGGGGCCGCGACCGTAGGTGGCGGGGCTGCGAAGGTAGGTGGCGGGGCCGCGTAAGGTAGGGCGGCGGGACCGCGAAGGTAGGTGGCGGGGCCGCGACCGTAGGTGGCGGGGCCGCGAAGGTAGGTGGCGGGGCCGCGTAAAGTAGGGCGGCGGGACCGCGAAGGTAGGTGGCGGGGCCGCGTAAGGTAGGCGGCGGGGCCGCGACCGTAGGTGGCGGGGCCGCGAAGGGGCCCCGTCGCCCGTCGCGGCGCCTCCAGAGGGCGACGCGGCGAACGACGGGGCAGAAGCCCGCCGCGCGCCTCGGGGCGCATAGCGGGCAGAGAACCGCCGCGCGCCTCGGGGCGCACGGCGGGAAGGAAAAATTGCAGCGGAAGCGAGGAGGTGGTAACCCACCCACAGGATCGATCCAAAGGGATCGACCTGCTCTGATAGCATGACAAAATTAGAAGGAAGAAAGAGAGTTGAACTAGCAGGAATGAGGATACAAATAGCAAAACCCTAGAAGGGTTGTACTCGCTATAGAGCACCCCACTACAGGCTAGAGCATAAGATAATATTCTGACATGCAGCGGCCCCGCCGTGCTTCGTTGTGGCCCCGCCGCCTCTCTCGCTCCGGCCCCGCCGCCCTTCCCAGCGGCCCCGCCGCCCTTCGCTGCGGCCCCGCCGCCCCACATTGCAGCCCCGCCGCCCTTCTTCGCGGCCCTACCGCCCTTCACTGCGGCTCCACCGCCTCACATTGCGTCCCCCCCGCCCTTCGCTGCGGCCCCGCCGCCCGTCTCAGCGGCCCCGCCACCCTTCTTCGCGGCCTCGCCGCCCTTCACTGCGGCCCCGCCGCCTCACGTTGCGGCCTTGCCGCCCTTCGCTGCGGCCCCGCCGCCCGTCTCAGCGGCCCCGCCGCCCTTCGCTGCGGCCCCGCCGCCCTACTCAACGGCCCCGCCGCCCTTCTATGCGGCCCCGCCGCCTTTCTCAGCGGCCCCGCCGCCCTTCTCAGCGGCCCCGCCGCCCTTCACCAGCGGCCCTGCCGCCCCTTCACTACGGCCCCGCCGCCCCTTTTACCAGCGGCCCTGCCGCCCTACACCGCCCGCGCCGCCCGAGCCGCCCGAACCGCCCGAGCCTCCCGAGCCGCCCGACCTGCCCGAGCCGCCCGAGCCGCCCGACTCGCCCGAGCCGCCCGAGCCGCCCAACCAGCCCGAGCCGCCCGAGCCGCCTGAGGAGCCGAGCCGCTGGTGCCACAGAGCCGCAGTTGCTGCTGCGCCGTTCGAGCAGCCGTGTTGCCGTGTTGCTGTACTGCTGAGCTGCCCAACCCGCCCTGTCTGGTGAGAGCAGCGCTTCCGTCACTACACTGCCCCTGTCCTACAGTTGGTACTACTAGTCTACTGCTGTCATGGCTACCCCCAGTGTTCTCGCTTTTGACGCTGAGGGTCGAGCCATTAACTTTGAGGTTTGGGTAGATGACCTGCAGCTTTTCCTACAGTGTGACAGGGCAGACGGTCTCTCCCTCTTTGATCTCACCTTTGGCGCCTCTCCTGCCCCTGCTGCTGACGCTGACGCCACTGTTCACTCCCAATGGGCCACGCACGATGCTATTGCACGTCTTGCTGTGCGTCGCCACCTGCCTACCACAGAGCGCGCACACTTTAGTCAGTACAAGAGTGCTCATACCTTGTACGACGCTGTAGTTGCGCGCTACTCTTCCCCTGCCACTGCTGCACTGAGCCGCCTCATGCTACCGTACCTCTTTCCTGACCTTGCTGCCTTTCCCACAGTCGCTGACCTCATTACGCACCTCCGCACTAGTGACACTCGCTACCGTGCCGCGCTTCCTGCTGAGTTCTGCGCCAAGAAACCCCCCCACCATGTACATCACTCTCTATTATATAGTCAGGGACCACTTCCTCTCTGTCTCTCCCACCACTCTCACCGTTCACCTCCTAGAGAAGGCCCTCCTAGCAGCGGAGAAGAGCATAGTCGCTGTAGGAGCCTCTCGTGGTGACCCTCGCACCCCCATCTTTGAAAGGTGTTCCCCTGCCCCCCTGTTGCCCTCTTTCGCCTCTGCTGCTGCGGCCAACCTCGTTGGTCTTGAGTCGGTCGGTGCGGCGTCTGCCCCTAGCGGGAGACGCCGCTCTGGCAAGGGCAAGGGGGGCAAGGGTGCGGTTGGAGCTAGCGGGGGTGGTGGAGGTGGCGGTGGAGGCGGCGGAGGGAGTGGGGGTGGCGGTGGGAGTGGTGGCGGGGGTGGAGGTGTCAGTGGCAGCAGCGGAGGCGGAGGCGGCGGAGGCGGTAGCGGTGGGAGCGGAGGCGGCGGTGGTGGCAGAGGTGGAGGCG